AGGCTGGAATGCAATGGTGCGATCTCAGCTCACTGCAACCTTTGTCTCCTGGGTTCAAGTGATTCTCCTGCCTCAGCCTCCCAAGTAGCTGGGATTACAGGCACCTGCCACCATGCCCAGCTATTTTTGGTAGAGACAGGGTTTCACCATGTTGGTCAGGCTGGTCTCAAACTCCTGACCTCAAGTAATCCTCCTACCTCAGCCTCCCAAAGTGCTGGGATTACAGGCATGAGCCACTGCGCTCATCCAAAAGTTATCTTAAAAATAGTTAATGTTTATTGAGCATATACTATATGCTAAGCATGACTCTAATGGCTTTTCATAAATATCCAGAAACATGCCCCTCAGGTAGCTAAGAATATCAGCTGCACTTGCAGAATCTGAACACTGATTTGTCCAGCGTCACCTGGAGGATTTGAACTGAACAACCTGTTGCTGTATGTAGCACCTTCTCCTCACCATGGTGCTCACTGGATCTATAAAATGCATATTTGCAGCTGGGCATGGTGGGTCACGTCTGTAATCCCAGCACTCTGGGAGGCCAACCAGCCTGGCCAACATGGTAAAGCCCCATCTCTACTAAAAATACAAAAATTAGCTGGACGTGGTCGTGCACACCTGTGATCCCAGCTACTCAAGAGGCTGAGGCAGATGAATTGCTTGAACCTGGGAAGCAGAGGTTGCAGTGAGCCGAGATCGCATCATCGCACTTGAGCCTGGGCAGCAGAGCAAGACTCTGTCTCAAAAATAAAAAAATAAAATGTACATTTGCATTGTTTTTTAAAAATACTTACCCAGGTGCCTTATGTGCCACAGGGGGTTAATTGTGGAGTATTTCCCATGAAACACAATCAGCATCGGGGAGGTGGCCACCCCTCCTCCCAGAGAGCTGCTGTAGAGGTTTTCCCTAAGAAATGAAATAGAAAAACAATATTTGGCCTGGAGTCCCCACAAACTCAGATAAAGTAGAATCTAATATTGTAAAAGATACAAGACATTCTCTCACTATGTACTGAGACTTACAGCCTTTCATTCTCCCCAACTTTTCATTTTGAAAATTGTCAAACCTACACAAAATAGTAAGACTAACATGAACTCCCATATTTATCACCTAGATTCACAGTGTTCATATTTTGCCATTTTAACTCCCAGGTTTTTAAATAGTAGACATGGGAGATCAAATTCTAATCCCGCGTTATTTAGAATAACTTTACTGGCAAATTCAAGATTATGATGGTATTAAAATATCCAGATAAAAAAGACTGCCAGGCAGTCCAATGATGTGATCATAGCAGTTGTATTAGAGTTATTTTTATCTTCTCTATTTTTAAAACTTTTATAATGAAAAATTATAAATTTTAAAAATCAACCTTAAAAAGCAAAGTTGACTCTATATAATAATCCTTAATAACAAATCTATGTTAAAAGGGGAAACTCAGCTAAGATAAATGAAGATTGTTACATGGAAGAGATCCAAGTCACATTTTTCAACAACTTATTAGCAAAATGTATAATCAGGGCCTCCTCACTCCACAGGATCTTGATTCCTCTGATTTATACCTTTTGAGGAAGATTTTAATTGACTGTCCCCTTTTCTTTCTTAACAGTGCCTCTGTCAGAAAATCTGACCTGAGATGACTGTGAAATATTTCTAACCCTTGAACTATGTGTGGAAAATTAACTGAATGATTTTGTTCCCAAGCATGAAAAAACGGTAGAGAAGTCTTCACGTACTCCACATTTTTTTGCATCCATTTCTCCAATTGCTTGGTGATGCGCTGGTGCTTCCATTCTGTCATGTTGGCAACAATCACTCCAGGATTGAAAGAGCAGGTGCTGGGGCTGATGCCAAGGTCTTTGATGGCCTTCTTCCGGTAGTCCAGATAGCCCATATATGTATTCTGTAAGGGAACAGGATGTGTATGCTTTTGACCAGCGAATCTTTTGTTTCTGGAAAATGATCATTTTCTTGAAACCCTTGTGCAGTATCTCTGGATTTCCTCCTGTGTCACTGGCCACTTGGTGGTTTCTTGTTGTTGTTTTGTTTTGCTGGTTTCCCATCATTTCTCCAACCTCTAAATGCTGAATGCTCTGAGTGCAGCACCAGTGCCTTTCTCAAGCAATAACTCCATAAAAGGCCTTGTCCAGTCTCATGGCTCTAAATACCACCCATCTGACAGCCTTGGCCTCTTGTCTGCACTTCCAGCTCCTGCTACATCTACCATCCAAATGTCTCCTTTCAGATGCTTAGTAAGGCAGCTCCAAATTACATCCAAAAAATGATCTCAACTCTATCCCAAACCTGCTTCCCTGCCCCTGACCTACCTCAGTCAGTGGCAACTCTAGCCTTCTAGTTACTTGGGCAAAAACCTGGGTCATTAGGTCCTCCTTGGCTCCTTTTTTCTCACTCATTTCTCATCCAAATCTGTCAGCAAATCCTGTTGGTCCCATCTTCAAAATGCCGGAAGCCAACCACTTCTCTTGCCACTATTGCTACCTTCCTGTTCAGGCCATAATTGCCACTCACTGGATTTCTGCAAGTTCCTCCTAGGCAGTATCCTTGCTTCCACCCTTTTCCACCTTACTCTGTCTCTAGGTCACTCATCCCCTCCAAGCTCTTCCAATACCTTCCCATCTCATTCACAGAAACAGCCAGAGTTCCTGAAATGGCCTGCCATACTCTATACCATCTGACCCTCCAGTGCCTCTCCAACTCCTGTTATTCTCCTCTTGATCCCCAGCAACAGTGACCACCTTTAATGAACCAGACTCACCTCTGCCTCAACATCTTTACACCTGCTCTTTCCTCTTACTGGAGAGTTTCCCCACTAACCATCTGCATAGGCGGTTCCCTCAATTCTTTCAAGTTTAGGTTCAAACGACACCATCTCAGTGGAGCCTTCCTGATTCACCCTATTTTAAATACAGCCCCGCCACCACCCCAATCCTCTGTTAAATATTTTACTTGTTTACTCTCTCTCTTCCCACTGGAATGTGAACTACACAGAAGCAGGAGTTTTTGTTTTGCTCACTGTATTACTAGCGCCTAAAACAGCGTCAGGCACAGAGTAAGCACTCAATAAGTAGTAGCTGAATGAATGTAGTATGAGGCAGGACACACACATTCTTTCACCCACATAGACTGTCATATTCTATAATTCCTTAATATGATGCTCTCAAACCTTATACAGGAGTCATGGAAATACTTGAGTACTTTCTAGGAACCAGGCTCTTTTCTAAGAACTTTACATGTACTACCTCGTTACTCTCATGTAATAGCTTTATATCCATTAAAATTCTCACAATAACTACAGGGGAAGTACTATTATTACCTCTGTTTGACAAATGAGGGAGAAACAACTGGCTGAGTAACTTGCCTGAGGTCATAAAACTACCAAGTGATAGTGCCAAGATTTTGACAAAATTGAATCTGGTCCCAGAGTCTATGCCTTGAAGTGCCTTAAAATGCCACACACATAAAAGTATTTGCTAGAAGCTTTTCTGAAAAACAGCAGTCAACTCTTAATAACACCTCATATTTCAAAGCTACTCCTTTGGTTTCAGCATCGCATGTAGATTCAACTTTCCTCATTTCCATCAGGGTAAGGAAATCTTTACCCTTAACAAAATCAATATTTTCTTCTACTGGAAGGGGGATAAAGGCAATGGTCAAAACTCTGAAAATAGAACCAATGATTCAGCAAGTCTCTCTTTCAGAAAACACCATCTCTGATAGACAGCATGGTTATAAGCAACCTAGGTAACAACGATCGCTTCTGGAGCTTTTACTTCATGCTGGACACTTGGACACCACGTTATTTCATTTTTGCTCACAAAGACAGAACAAAGTAGACATGGTTGTTCCATGTTTCAGAGAAGGAAAGTGGGGCTTTGCAGGGTTAAAGTAAGTCACCCCAGAGTTGGTAAAGGCATGGAGCTGAGATACAAACCAAAGTCCCAGACCCCTGTGCTGTTCCACCTCTCAGCAGTCCAGACAGTCCTATAGGGTTTTCAAGGTGGAGGTTACACTTATTTTGAGTTGCAGAGGGGGAGAAGGGACCAGAACTGTAGGGTGAAGGGAGGATTTCCAAGATAATGTGCCCACCTGAAGTCCCACGAGTCTGTTTATGTCCTGAGCAGAGGGCAAATCGCAGTCATCTGAAAAAGCCGCTGCGTGGCCCAGGGCCAAGGTGGTGTCATACAGTTCTTGGATATCACCTGAATTTAGAAACATCAGCAATTAAAACATTACGGCATTTGTTTTGGGGCCAGATAGAGCCTTAGAGCTTAAACAGTTCTTGATTTTGCTCTGGGACAAGAGTATTGGATCCCTGATTTCAAGTGGCTTGACAATTTATTTAGCAAGAGTCGTGCCTACAGATTTAGAAAGCCACTTGATGATGAGTTCAGACTGGCATTGATCAAATTTCTTTATTTCTGTTGCTAAATGTAGGTACCACACCAATGCGTATCCTGTTTGTAATGGAAGAGATATAACACATTTAAACATCAAAACTTAGCTCACGCCTAAGAATGTCATCTGTGACGCTTTATTTCCATACATTATAGGGATACAGGGAAAGGAAAGGCTAACAAGCTATTTATTGCAAGTTTTGACAATCAGAGTGTCAACTGGATTGTCCTGGTAAGTATCAACCCCTGTTTCCAAAATTCTTTCGAATTTACAACAATACTGTACTCACAACTTAAATAAGCAGTCAAAACTCACTGCACAATTAGCTATTTGAAAAATGAAGAGAGACAGTCATTCTACTTATCAGCTGCTTCTTTTCCATGTGTTCTTGGCAGTTAGCAAGAGTACCTTGTACAATTACATCATCGTCCAAATAGATGACTTTCTCGTGTTGGTGGATAAGTAGAGGGAGATAAAATCGAACAAAGTTCAGCTGTTAAAACAACAAAAGAAGTGATGGTGGGGAACAGGCATATGGCTTAGTGTCTTCTGAGGATACTGGAGAGTCAGCTTTGACCATGGCCTCAGCTCAGCTCCAGGTTTGGAACAGAATAAAACAGGAGCTAGCCAGATAACTCACCTGAGCTTCCCAGTGCCTGAAATATCTGAGGCCTGAGGTTGAAGCCAGCGCTGCAGATCAGCTATTCTTCTAGATCCAAACCCCCTAGTGCAGAGGCTGCTGCCACTTTCATCTCTGTTAACTGCTGCAGTGGGCGTTACAGAGGCTCCGTGGTCAATCTTTTAGGGCACAAATTGCCTGCCTTACTCTACCTCCAGTAATTTTGATAACTGTCAATTAAATCAGCCTGAAATACACACACACACACGTGTGTCATCCCAACAGCAAGCTCAACCTTTTAGCTCCTTGAACCAGAAAAAGGAGCACCATGAGCTGTGGGGTAGGAACTTCAAAGTTTCATTACTAACAACATTGCTTAATCTGAATTTTTAACTCAGCTTGTACTCTGACAGAATCTGCAATTGGGAAAAGGTCATATCATAGACAGAGGGCTTAGAATTAAATAAATTTTCTGGGATGAATTTAAGTAACAATCATATGTAGAAGGTGGCTGCAGTTTCTGTAAAACTGTTGTCAAAACACCACTCTTTTTTTTTATTTTCTGAGACAGGGCCTGACTCTGTTGCCCAGGCTGGAGTGCAGTGGCATGATCACAGCTCACTACAGCCTCGAACTCCCAGGCTCAAACAGTCGTCCCACCTCAGCTCCTGAGTAGGTAGCTAGGACTATAGGGGTGTGCCACCAAACGTAGCTAATTAAAAAAATAAATGGGGTCTCGATATGTTACCCAAGCTGGTCTCAAACTCCTGGGTTCAAGCAACCCTCCCGCCTCACCCTCCCAAAGGGCTGGGATTACAGGCCTGACCAAAAACACCACTTTTTATGCAAAAAGAGAAATAAAAAATTAAAAAAAAGGGAGAGGGTCCCTTTTGTAAGAACACTCATGGTAAAATACCTTAAGATTTCCAATGCTAAGAAAAGAGTTTGTGTCTCCTAAGTGTATTATCTTAGTTAATACTATGAAGTATATAATCCACCATGCTACTCTTTCTTCTTAGCTGTCAGATACTCAGAGTTAGATTTAACAAGCAATCACAGTTAAATATCCCAACAGCCAACAGGTTTGGGGTCCTCTTTCCTGGTCTCAGCTACCTGGCCCTCCTCCAGCTCCCACCCCGACAGATATATCCATACTCGTAAATGCATTCTGCATTTTTTTAATGTTTCATTTCTTCTTTAATAACTTCATTGTGTTTCTATAAACCATCTTAAATCCTTTCTGTAGCAGCTGGCTTATAAATTATACATAAGCAGAGTTTGGTGGAGATCAAACACCACAAGGCTTCAAAAATAATATTCCACATGCATCTCAGTGCCTAGCGCTCCTTACTGAACAAGAGTCTCACCAAGGACTGTCCCCAGCATCTGCGTAGTCCCTACTTACGGGCTGCAGCAATTCAGGCCTCGGTGAGTCTGGTCTGATCTTCCCTTTGAGGACCATTGGATTGAATTCCACGATTTTAAAGTTTATTTCTCTCAGTTTGGAATGTTCGATCCATTTTCTAAAAAGATGACAAAAAAACCTCTACTATACACTTCAAATCTTTCCTCCATTTGCCTGTTTCCCCAGGGTCAATCTGTTGCCTCCCTAGAAAGTTAAAATTAAAATGTGTGTAAACTTAGTAGAGTTTAGTCCAATAAATCCTCCTGACTTTTCTCCCCATCTGGTCTGACTTTAAATCTTTTTTTTCCCCCTCAATCACGTAACTCTTTCTGCAAAGGAAATGAAGCAAAATACTAACCAAATCTCTCCCCAGATCCAAATAATTTCCCCAGGAAACAGGAAGAATAAAAAGTGTTCTTTCTTATAAAGCAGCATCTGTGGTTGTTGGTACTGTCTTTGCCATGTGGTAACAGCTCTGAAATGTTATGAAGCAGGACATTCTGAACCTTCAACTTTGATTGAAGTCATTTTTACTCTGCTGTTTTGACACCAAGGCTGATTTGAGTTTACCTTTGTCTCTTTGATTCACTCCCTCAATCTTCCCCATCTGTCTTTATTCCCCTTCTTCTCCTTCCTCCTCCCTTTCCCCTTCTGTTTTCTTGGTCTTGCAGAATTTTTATCTGTATCCAATTCATAATGAGATTCTTGGGAGAAATAATCACAAAATAAAATGTCCAATGACTAAAGCCACCTAGGGTAGAAATTTGTTGCTGACTAAAAATCAACAAAATAATTAAATGTGAACAAAATTTAGATCTGCAAAATCTGAGCAATAGTATGATGAGGGGAGTGAGGAATGAGACAGAAACCCCCAGAAAGCATACATAAGCCCTCAAAATCCAGGGCAGCCAAGGGCCATTTAGATGAGAGGCAAACACCTTACAGATCTCTGTATCTCCTGATGATGCCACTACAAAAACATTTAATTATAAAAGCAGCATGTAAATATATTCTCCTTTTGAATGATCAAATAATACTGAAACACCTTGAACTTTCCTTCATCAGCATCCTCCCCAATTCCTCTGTTCTCCCAAGAGATAGTGTTAACAATTTAATA